GGCTGTAAGTATTTGGAAGAGAATGTTTTAGTCTCCGAATGTTTCTCCTTTAAGATTATGAGGAAACAAAAAGTTTGCTTTCTCCACATCAGCCTTAAACCACACACACACCACAATCCTGCCCATCAGTGTCTCACAATATGTAACAGGGACTGAGATGCAGCTTTCGGTTTGTAAGCAAAAGACACTAGTCTAGGTCAACATCATGGTTACAATGGCACTATAACATTTTCTAAGAATATTCACTATACATAATTTGCTATAACCAGCTTCAAAGATGAAACACCCAACAAAAACACTCAATGAACACACTCTGATAAACTAACATTAAAAAGTGCAAAATGCATCAGCCATTGGTCCTATTTGAGAGATATCACAGGTTACTGGAATCAGATTCACCTGAAGCTGAACAGTCAGACAAGTAGCCAATACTTGGGAAAACAGTACACTGATATATATCTGTTTTAAGATTCCCTTCACAATGTTGGATTATCTTGTAGTAAAACTTGATATATTTTGCCATTTTTAGAACATTTCTAAATTCTGATGAATATTATTTTGCTCTGAAAAACATTATGCATTCATATGGGTTTTTTTTAAACCTAGATAGTCGAGTTAGTGATCAAGTAATTATACATAGTGAATAATTGAATATGACTACTTTGTATTAGGTTGTGATTTTAGTGAGAAGCACATTTTATAGCTGGATTTGTGCATGTGCCATAGTGGAGCTCTTTCACTGTCTCTAACCATGTATATGGAAAACACAGGTATGGTATATGGGATTCAATCCACCACATCAACAAAGCAATAGCACTGTGAAATGAACTCTTTACTTATGATTCTGTGTCCAGGATTTGGATAATCAAGTATTTTTTGTATTCTAAATAAGTAAATATGCTTCAAAATAAGCCCTCACTAACCTTTGCAGCTGCAGACACTAAGGAATTCATCCTCAAATTCTCAGCGCTTAGAAGTTTTTCTATCAGCAGTGACTTGGCAGCCTTCCAGCATTATAATCTCTAATGAAGACAAATAGGTACTCTGGGAGGCAAAGCAGGGGGAGCCACACTGTTAAAAGATTACAATGGCTGTAGTTCTGCTTTAAAGTAGAACTATGAGGTGAGTGATGTTCACTCATCCTCATAGTTAGAGCCGACGTGTGACAATGAAACTGTCACACATCGGCTCTATTGATCGGGAAGTGAGCAAACACATACCGTCGCTTGCTCACTTTCCGATCATCTCCCTGCAGAGAGCGTTGACTGTCAGTCACCGCTCCCCGCAGGGATTCCCCCTCTCTGATCCTCCAGCACTGACTGGAGGAGGGGGCGGGGGTGCTGACTGGACGGGGGAGGGGGCGGGCACAGCTGGCTCTGCCTCTAGATAGGCAGAGCCCACTGTCAATCAGCTAGCTTGGTGGATCTCGACAGTATTGTCGGGATCCGTCCCAGCTGCGGCTCTCAGTATATAGCGAGCTGTAGCTCGCTATGTACTGAGCTTTGCGTCACGGGAGGAGGTTAGTAAATGTCCTTTCGTGAACCTTGTAATAAAAAGTTTACCCCATAGTTCTCTTTTAAGCTTTGATATAGGAATGTTGAGAAATCTCCCAGACAAATCTCCAATCTGTAAACAAAAAAAAGAAGTGTAGTCTGCCCTGCTGACCACGTTACCCACATTGTGATGAATACAATCTGTAGACTTTGGCTAAACAGAAGTAATTTTGGTAAATAAACACTTTACTAGAATACCTACCAAAGAAAGCAACTCATGGGCATTTGTGTGCTATAGCACTAACCAGATATAATGGAAATAAAAATAAAGGAATGCTTCTAGCAGATGTTAAACGTCTCCTCTTTTTCCCTCTCACCAATGCATCCTCTTCACTGTCTTCTGATGCTTAAGCCAAGTGCATACTTTGTGCTTGACATTTAGGGGACACACTAATTTATTACTGCTTAAGTGCCAGAACAAAAGTATTGTATTAGACTCAGGCCAGGACAAACTCGAGTCATAAAAAAACCCAGAAATCAACAATTGTATTATTTAATATGGCACAAAATGTAATTTTTAATGCATTTTCATATTAAATTCAAATAAAACCCTATTGTGCTTTATTTCCCCAGAGAAGAGCACACAAACAAAAACAAGGGATCACCATCAGGATGACTTGTTTATGGAAAAAAACTGAAATGCTGCAGGATCAGCTGCCCTGAGCTCCACTAAACTGTATTCTATTTATTGTTTTGGTTTACATAGCACTGCCTAGCATCACCTTAAATCCCAAACCATTTCTTAGTTGATGTGTACTCTAGTGCAAAGCCAAACATATGCTATGGACAACCCCACTTTTAACTTTCCTCTAATCTTTTAAAAACTCCAATACCTATAGAATTATCATAAATACACAGAAAATGATATCCTACTCAGACAACAGACCTCAAGAACGTAACATTTCAAAAGGTGTTGAAATGCAGGTACAGTATGCTAATGATTACCAGTTTGTTTGGTGTCAACATGAATGCAGCAATATAGGCAATAGATTATTTCCGCTCTTAAAGTGCAACTAGGGTCTCCCATTTACAAAAAGAAATGTGCTGTAGCAGTTAATTTGTAAGTTACTTACAGTTTTCTTCCCCTGAAATTACCTGTTGAGCTTGCCAGTGAAGTTCACTCAATGCAGCTTCCTGTGATGGTGTGGAAACAAAGCTGCACTGCTGTTGAATTCAGAGTAGTCGCCACTTTCATATAGGCTCTGCCTGCTTACACTACAGCGTGATGAAAACAAGTTGCAGGGGTAATGCTATCAGTATTGTTGCTGCTGATTCTCAAGCCTGTGGCTTGTCAATCAGCACCTGGTCACACCTATTCCTGCCCACATCTTTCTGGACTGAGAGCATTGTCTCTGTTGGTAAAACCTTCCCACTGTGAGCTGTAGTGTCTGGGAGAGGAAGCATGTGAGACACAAATGAAGGAGGATTTGGTTCAGTCAGGGAAAGTAAAAGAAGTGTTTTGTTTACTTTATGTGATTTGAGCATCACATAGTACCTGGATTTGTGACTTGTGTAGACTGTCATACAGGAGCCTTCAGTTGTACTTGACGTTTTACTAGCTTTCAAAAAGGTGGAAGAATATTAACCATACAAATACCAAAAAAGTCACATCTGCATTTTAATACATATTAACAAAATCTAAAATTAGAACATAGGACCAAATGCACTCCCAACCCCAACATAATGTTCATCTTCTTCAACCACCTATATGAATTACTACAAACGCTTGCTGGCCTCACAAATTACATACTAAACTGCCAGTCAATCATAAGAGACTCTAAACATTGTGAAACATATTCAATAAACACATTAAACGTATAAGAATATCCTTTGTTTAAAGTAGAACTCCAGTCAAATGTTTTGTATAGTTGTACAAAGAGTGGGAAAGTGCTTTTAATACGGATTGTATACCAGCTGGGGATATCCATTCTTTTTGTTTGTCTTCATTGCCAACATCACCAGCACAGAAATTGAAAGGAATTCCAGTTTTAAAGTTTATTCCAGAACATAAGAAGAAGGGATATCCAAATAGGCACATCTGTTCAGATGACAGCTATCATTTTCCTAAAGTAGAATTAAAATCTTTTTTGCAATATATCTACTGCTAGTAAGCAGTAGATATATGCCCTAACATAAAAAAATAATAAGTTGGACAACACCAACAAACTTGCCAGTGTCAGCGCCGCAGTCCTGGCTCCCGAACGCTGTGAAGGAGGAAGTGTGGGTGGGCGCATGCGCAGTACAGATCGTCGGAGGGGGGAGGAGGAGAGCACCGCTGACACTGAATGGATGCAGCCAGGAGCACGCACACACGACGACAGACTCCGTGGGACCCGAGGAGTCTGCGCTGGATCAGAGACCGGCACCAGCGCTGGAGGGACTTTGGAATATGAGTGGAAGGAAGAAGCTGTTTGGATCAAGAGGCATCACATAAGGTAAGTCCTTAACCACTTGCTGACCGGAGCAATTTCTTACTATTTACACACAAATGATAAAATATGATTTTTTTGGCTAGAAAACAGCTTCAAACCCCCAAACAATGATATATTTTCTGAAAGCAGAGACACTGTAAAATAAAAAAAATGCTGGTTGCAATTTTTATGTTGCACGGTATTTGCGCAGTTGTTAATCAAACCAGTATTTTTAGGCTAAAATACACTAAAATTAAATTTAATACACAGTAACAGAATATAATACCCTTTTTTTGGTAAAATATAAAAGATGTGGTCACGCCGGGGAAATAGATACCAAACTTGTCAAGCCTTAAAATTGTGTTCGCCCGTGATGCCGCAAAAAATGACAATACCACAAATTTCCGAGACACTTTAAAAGCTTTTACCGCTCATCAGATTAGTGTTAACAGTGATGGCCCCAAAATTATTGGTCTCACTCCGACGTTCGCGGCGATATGTAACATGTGTAGAGCAATTTTAGTTTTTGCACGTAGGCGCACCAACGCGTGTTTGCATATGTATGTGCAAGCACGTGGGGGCGGGGGACTTTAAACATATTTTTTGTATATGTTACTTTATTTGTAATCACTTTTTTTTTTTTTTTACACTAACCTTATTGCGATCACATAGGGGGCTACCAAAAGCCCTATGTAATAGCTAAAAGGGTGTGACAGGTCCTCTTTATGGTGACACCAGGGGTCTTTCAGACCGCTAATGTCACTTAGGGACCCCAAAGAAGCCGAGGAAGTGAATCTCTGCTTTCCCAGAAAATTTACAATTTTTAAAATCCCTAACTTGTATATGGAAACCAAGTTTTCGAAGGTTTGTATCAAATATTTTGAAGAACAAAAAATATTAAGAGGCTGTATAATATCATTGCTGGAATACTGGAGAAAAGAATATAGGATAAAATGTCACATCAATAAAATCTGTACCATAAAAGTACCTGTATTATACTGTACTTATCTGCAAGAAATGTATGTGGGTCACTCACCAGGGTGGGTAGATATAGATGATATCATTCGCCTTTGGTTTTAGCTTGTCTGCTGTTTGCCGAGAGAACAGAACCTTGAGCTTTGTTGCAACTTTACAGTGATTTATGGGGGGGTTGTCTATGGTCCCGATGTCTGTTAATTGCTGACAGGCTGCAATCCATATTGCACACTCCTCATGAACATCAATCAACTTTACAAGAAGTGTCCCTGATTTATCTCCTTCAAACAACAAAGAAAAGGGGACTGTGAAGCATGCAAAATTATGACAAAAAAAACCCTGCATCTTGGAACTCAGCAGAGTTCTAGTTGTATATGACCATACCAAACCTCATCACATTTATTCAATTTGCATCTATCCTATCACGAGACAAACATGATCCTCTTGCTTTAAACCACTGAGCTACATGTTTTGGATAGAGTGGGAAAGGGTTGGAACATCTGTCAAGTCTTTTTGCCCTCTGTTTCCCTATTAGGGAGATTTCTCCAAATTTACTGTTGGGACAGAAAGCGATCAGAAGTCTCTCCAACAGGGAAACAAACACATTTTTTTGAAGAGTAAAGAATGGTCAGAACCACTGATGATGTATTTATTTATTTTGTATGGGCACCACAGGGACAGGAATTGAGTGAAAATCTTCCCAATGGGGTCACAGTTGGATGCTAAATCGCAACAGAAAATGTAAACCTTTCCTTCACTATCTAAAGAAAAAAATAGAAAGAAAGAGAAATTGGCAGGCATTAAGCTTTAAAGTTAAAGACAGCAGGTCAAACAGCATTGTCGGCTAATATTTCTTACAATGGTTTTTTTAAATGAGTGAAAGACATTCATGGAATAATGGGATGTGCTGTTAAAAATTAAACCTAGCATAAGATTTGTGTGCTCCTTCCTTAAACAGAAACACAGATAAACAGCTCAGAGTCCCAATTATTGGAGCAATTTTTAAATATATTACCAGTCAACTAAGCAACGAATGCAAGACCCATTTTTTGTAACAACCTGGTAAATCATATTGCAATGTATTTACATTCATTAAACACAATATTAAAATAACAGTGGCACTTCTATGTTTTTCTAAACCCATAGGGAGCTTTGTTGTTCTTTCTCTGCGGTAATTATTTCTCCAACAGAAAAAGTTTTAGAAAATATAGTGAGGAGTGATAGTTTTGGAAATGAGAACTGCCAAGTGAGGCACCATTCAGGCATCCAGGTCCCCCTAGAAACTGCGGGTTGAGACCTTTTAGAGATTTATAGTGGATGGATCAGAAAGCATTATCCAAACACGGTTTTCTCTTTGATAAGCCAGTGATACAACTTCCTGTAAAGTGCCTCTTATTACATTCTGTATGAGCTCAACACAAGGTGGCCTTCACTGCCTGTGTCAGGATCCAAGGACAACTTTTAGTGACATGACTATTGAAAACAGTAGCTTGTGTCCAATTAAGGTCTCTATAGTTTGATAAATATCGGTTCAAAAGGTAATTGAAGATGTTGCTAATGCATATGTGTTACACCTAAACTATGTGGACTCCTTTACCTACCCACACAGAAATTAAAAATATGAGAGGAAAAGAAGTCTATGACTAACCTTTAACTAAATAAATCTCTAACACATTCTACACATTCACATATAAATCTTACCTAAAGGTATTCTGCAATCAGATCCAGATTGATGCCTCCAAAATGTAATGGCAGATCTTTCTCTGTTCTGCAGACGACTGAGCCTTTCAGCTAGGCCTCCCCTACAGAGTTAGCCAAGAGTTAGCATTTCATTTTGCCAAAGGACAAAACACAGTACACAGATGGGACCATTTACTTTATGCTCTCCTCAAAGAAACATCACAAAACGTAATTCTCCTGAATTGTTCAGACACTAAAGCTCAGTTAAGAACATTTTTTAGACCTAATAAAATGTACAATCTGTTTTATAAAAGAAATACATCATTTAAATGCCAACTGGATCCATCCCCTGTATAAACTTCAGGAGTTTCTATTTACCATTTTATTATTCTGAACATTAAATCCGTTCAGAAATGTAATAATGATTATGCGTGTATATGTTTGACATTTATGAATGTTTTACATTTCCAGAATTATATACTAACATATAGAGCTGCAGCTAACGATTATTTTCAAAATCGATTAGTTAGCCGATTATTAAGTTCGATTAATCGGTTAATCGGATAAACAATAAAAAAAAAATTAAAAATGGCTCCAGTGATGGGACTACTAGTTTGTATTGAGATTGTAGTCCATCACAGGAGCAAGCTTGGAGCGGTAACATATACAGATATGCGGAGCACATACCATAACTACCTGGTACGTTAAAGATGGGGTTCACGCAACACTTGCAGAAGCTAGAGAGATCTGGCTTTCTATGTTCTAAAAATTTGCTGCATAGCAGATCCCTTGCCATCGTGCACATTCACATCAGTCCCTGCCCTCAAGGAGCTTACAATCTCAGTTCCATATCTCACATGCAGACATACAAGGGCCAATTTGCACAGGAACCAATTAACCTTGCAGCATGTCTTTGGAGTGTGGGAGGAAACCAGAGTACCCGGAGGAAACCCACGCAAGCACAAGGGGAACATGCAAACTCTTTGCAGATAGCGACCTGGCCGGGATTCGAACCAGGGACCCCCAGTAGTGACACGTGTGTCAATTACCTGCTTCCCCCCTATGGCTCCTATGCCTTTACAGGACGAATGACCCAAAAGGAACCACAGTGCACAGCAGGTATTTACTACAACAGAAAGTGTCAGATATCTGCAATGGCCAGAGATTTGCTACTCAGCACATTTTTTAAGACACAGGCTGCCTGAAAGATGAATTACTTTAGGGCTGCAACTAACGTCTATTTTCATAATCGACTAGTTGGCTGATTACTTTTTCGATTAAAAGATGAAAAAAAAAAAAAACATCTTTAATTTAAAATAAAATACAGAAATGGAGTGTTACAAACAAAAATCACGATATAATACCCACCAGTTAAGGGGGAAAAGGAAGGGGATGAATTAAAGAAGAACTATGGAAATGAGAATGAAAGCACCAATGGAAATGCATCAGACCTAGAGAGAGGTAATTAGGAGCATGATAATATGGGGTGAGAGGAACTTACAAAGTAGTCCAATATATACAGTATGATCAGTGTGTGGTGGGTGTGTATATACACATACACATATATATATATATATATATATATATATATATATATATATACACATACACATACACACACACTGCTCAAAACAATTAAAGGAACACTTTTCAATCAGTGTATAGCATCAAGTCAATGAAACTCCTGGGATACTGATCAGGTGCTTTGGTGTTAATAAAATTAACAACAGGTGCACTCGATGGGCAACAATAAGCTCCAAAGCAGGAATGGTTTTACAGGTGGAGGCCACTGACATTGTTTTCCCTACTCATCTTTTCTGACTGTTTTTCACTAGTTTTGCATTTGGCTAGAGTCAGTGTCACTACTAGTAGCATGAGGCGATACCTGGACCCTATAGAAGTTGCACAGGCATGCCAACACCTCCAGGGTGGCACATCAATACGTGCCATTGCCAGAAGGTTTGCTGTGTCTCCCAGCATGGTCTCAAGAGCATGGAGGAGATTCCAGGACACGGGAAGTTACTCTAGGAGAGCTGTACAGGGCTGTAGAAGGTCCTTAAACCCATCAGCAGGACTGGTATCGTCTCCTTTGTGCAAGGAGGAACAGGATGAGCACTGCCAGAGCCCTACAAAATGACCTCCAGCAGGCCACTGGTGTGAATGTCTCTGACCAAACAATCAGAAACAGACTTCATGAGGGTTGCCGGAGAGCCGGACATCCTCCAGGGGGCCCTGTGCTCACTGCCGGGCCACGTGGAGGTCGTTTGGCATATGGCATTTAACACCAGAATTGGCAGGTCCGCCACTGGCGCCCTGTGTTTTTCACAGTTGAGAGCAGGTCCACCCTGAGCACATGTGACAGACGTGAAAGGGTCTGGAGAAGCCATGGAGAACGTTATGCTGCCTGTAACATTGTTCAGCATGAGCGGTTTTGGTGGTGGGTCAGTGATGGTCTGGGGAGGCATATCCATGGAGGGATGCAGACCTCTACAGGCTAGACAATGGCACCCTGACTGCCATTAGGTATCGGGATGAAATCCTTGGACCCATTGTCAGACCCTACGCTGCTGCTGTGGGTCCTTGGTTCCTCGACAATTCCCTGGTGCACGACAATGCCTGGCCTCATGTGGCGAGAGTATGCAGCCAGTTCCTTGAGGATGAAGGATTTGATACCATTGAATGGCCCACACGCTCGCCTGACCTGAATCCAATAGAACACCTCTGGGACATTATGTCTCGGTCCATCCGACGCCACCAGTGTTTTTGGTGTCATTTTAAACAGCAGGCAATAGCTGTTCAGGTACAAGCAATCCAGCATCTATACAGCCACCGGATCGTTTGTAGTGATCAGCGGATCGTGCTGCCTCCATCCCCTCTGCCAGCTTCCCCGTGCTCCGCTGTCCTACGTGCGGGGCCAGGACCGACACAGTGGGTCTCCCGGCAACGATTGAGATCAGCAGCTTCCAGTCACTGAGCTCTCCTCCAATCATAGGACTCGGAAGTGATGTGTATTATGTCACGTCCGGTGTCACTGTTTACAATCTCCGGCTCTTAGAGCCAGGAGAAGAAGCTGGGGATGCAAATCTCTGCTTCCTCAGCTTCTTTGGGGCCTCTTGGTGACATTAGGGGTCTGAAAGACCCCTGATGTCCCCATAAAGAGGACCTGTCGCACCCTATCTGGTATCGGCTTCACAGGCGAACGCAATATTAAGGCTTGACCTGTTTGGTATTTATTTACCCAACGTGACCCCATCTTTTATACTTTACCAAAAAATTGGGTATTCTGTTTCTGTGCACTAAATTTCATTTTAGTGTATTTTATTCTAAAAATACTGGTTTGGTAAACATTTACGCAAATACCATGCAACATTAAAAAAATAGCAACTAGCATTTTTTTTTTATTTCTGTTTTCATAAAATGTTGACAAAAGTGAAAATAGGATTTTGTTCTTACCGTAAAATCCATTTCTCAAAGTTCATTGAGGGACACAGCTCCCACCCCAGGTGTGAGGTTGAAGGGGTTATGTCCTTAAAGTAGAAGGCTTTTAATTTTTCTGCCTAGTGTCCAATTCTCCTAGCGTCAGCTGCATAACCCTACAGCTCAGAATTCTTTAGAACTATGTGCCTCAATGGATTTTTTTTTAACCCCTTCGTGACTGACCACGTACAGTGTACGTCGCCAGCATCGGGGCTGTTTAAACAGACTCCCGGCGACTTTTGCCGCAGGGACTCTGTTTAATTACAGTAAGAACAAAATCTTGTTGGTTTTGTTTTTTGCTTTGCTCATACTTTTACATTAAATTCCATTCAATAAACAAATGATTTATATAACGGTTACATGAATAATTTTGCAGTTTAGCATGCCCTCTTATTCAGCTGGCAGTGGTGAGGAAAGCTCTCACACAACTGCCAAAAAATCTAAATTTTCTTTCTGGCACACATTGGGGGGAATATGTAAAACTGGAGCAGACAGAATTTGGAGCAGTTACCCATATCAACCAATTAGCTTCTCTCTTCAGTTTGTTCAGTTAAGCTTTGAAAATCAAAGATAGAAGCTCAGTGGGTTGCCATGGGAAACTGCTCCAGATTCTGTCTGCTCCAGTTTTGATAAATTCTCCCATTGTATTTGGGAATTTAAAAAAACTTCTCATCCACCTGCTCTTGTAATCAGCTCACTGCTTTTTCAATGATCTGCACAGAGGCCAAGGTACAACATGACCAAGATGCAACCTAAGCAATGTATTCTGCAGTTCACAGATGCTTCACACCTAACAAGATACTGGGCAGCTGCAATGTTCTGAATACAACAAAAGAATTGATAATCTGATTACAGTAGGCAAACCCTCCAGCGCTCATTTTCAGCAAGAATACTGACATTTATTTATTACAGGTATTTATACAGCGCTGCCAATTTACGCAGCACTTTACATAGTGCACATTCACATCAGTCCCTACCCTCAAGGAGCTTACAATCTAAGGTCCCTATCTCACATGCATACATAGAGGGTCAACTTAGAGAGGAGCCAATTAACCTACCAGCATGTCTTTGGAGTGTGGGAGGAAACCGGAGTACCTGGAGGAAATCCACGCAAGCACAAGGAGAACATGCAAACTCCTTGCAGATAGTGACCTGGCTGGGATTCGAACCAAGGACACCCAGTGGTGCAAGGCAGAAGCGCTAACCACTACGCCACTGTGCTGCCCATGACATAGCTCATCTCAATTGCTAAAGAACAGAGGCAAGTAAGATCTGCAATATAGTTTGCCAACCTACAGCTAACCTAGTAGGATTTTTTTTTTCTCAACAAAACTGGAGTTTCATATTCCTGCTGAGGCTCCACCTCCTTGTTTCCAAACAGGTAAAACGGAAAATTTAATCATACTTACCGTAATTTTCTTTTCCTGGTTATACTCCATGGCAGCGCTGACAAATGGGTTTAGATCCAATTACCCTAGCTGACAGGAACCAAAAGGGTTAAACAAGGCCTAACCCTCTCTATAAAAGCCCCTCCTCCTGCTGACTTCCCCAGTCTAGTAACAAGCTAAAAACTCCATAGGGTGGGAGCCCAGCGCTGCCATGGAGTATAACCAGGAAAAGAAAATTACGGTAAGTATGATTAAAT